GGGATGGAAATGCTTGGGGCCCAGCGGGCTAAAACCCCCCCCCCCCCCAGTCGTGCCAAGGTTGGATGGGAAGCTGTTTTCCATACACCCCCCCCCCCCCCAGTCGTGCCAAGGTTGGATGGGAAGCTGTTTTCCATACCCCCCCCCCCCCCCAGCATCCAGGCACTGGGAAAGAACCTTGATAGCATCACCTGGTCAGCCCAGGGCAGCGATGTATAACTGAGTATCATTGATGATCCTGTACCGCATACTAACTGATGATCTTACCCAGTGGCTTCATGTAGATGTTAAATAAGAGCATGGAGAGGGTTGAGCCTTGAGGTACTCCACAAAGCATGGGCCCCAGGCTCGATAGCCTCCCCTGCCTCCCAACACTGACTGGAATCATCTTCAGGAGAAAGGAGAAGAATCACTGTAGCACCATGCCTCCCAATCCCCTAAACTGGCCCAGAAGGATACAATGGTTGATGGTATTGAAGGGCACTGAGGGATGAAGGAGGACCAGGATGGATGCACTACCTCCATCCTGGGCCTGGCAAAGGTCACCAATCAGTGTGATCGATATTGTCTCAGTACAAAGGCCAAGGCTAAATCCTGACTGGAAGGGGTCCAGGTGATTTGCTTCTTCCAGGACCCTCCGGAGTGGCAGGTCTACCATCCTCACAACAACTTTCCCTAAAAAGGGAAGTTGGGACTCTGTACCAAAATTATCCAGATCTGCTGGATCCAGTGATGGCGTCTTAAGGAGGGGGGTAGACAACTGCCTCTTTCAAAGCAGGTGGAACCACCCGCTTTGCAGAGGTGCATTGTATTATAGTTGTAAGTATCCCTTGTAAAATTAATTCCTTTCACCACTGTTCTGGCATGATCAGTGACCAGACCGTTTCAGTTGGGCCACATAATCATTTCTGAATCTACTCAAGAAAATTTGATGCTTTTCTCTAATAAAGGAGTGCTTTTCAACTGGAGGAATCTCCTTACCTAGCACACACATTTGTCTAAATATTTCAAGCCTGTCCAGAACAGTTTGCTTGGAAACAATACAGAAGTGTTTTGCCATTATCTTTAGATCTTGATTTGGATTAGTTTGTATGTGGATGGAATGACTTTCTTTATTTTTATTTTTATGAACCCAACCTACTATTATTTTCTTCTTTAATAACATTTTGGAGCCATTGAGACTGAGATAAGCCATCTGTTGACAGAAGTACAATACAAATATGATAACCAATCATTTTTTAACATTAGAACAGTTGAGTCTTGCAGTCTTTAATATTTCTCAGAAACATTGGATATCAAACTAAAGATTAGTTGTAGATTTTAAAATTGGTTTATGTTTCCAGATTGTGATGGATACCTTCAGTATATTGGTGCCAATTTTTTAAATAGCTAATTTAGATTCATTTCTTTTTTGTAAAATATTAGTGAATCTTAAAGGCTGAATCACTGATTTGTCCTCAACTGAAGGTAGTAACATTTTACAAAGAGAGGTATTTATAAGAATGGGGAATAATTCCAAAAGAAATATGTGTAATAAAATGTGCTATGGATAAATAAATGCCTAGCAAATGAATTAGTAGGCAGTGTATAACCTATTTTGCTTTTGTTACATTTCTGTAATCAAATCTACAATCTGATCCTGCTTTAGTTTTAGACCAAATTTTACCAAATATTAACTGCATAGGCTAAGATGAAGTGGAGGTATTGACACTTGCCAAGACCAGAAATAGACATGCTTTGTCAGAATGGTCAAGATTCTTTTCCTAATTTCATTTCTTGTGGCACAGAATCAGAAGTAATGAGGATAGTGATGATATATATGCTGCATTCATAGAGGAGTGTGTGTATGTA